GGATGCAAACTTCTCTCCAAGTCATATGGAGGGAATGACGGGTAGAGGAAGCATTATTGTAATATGTTGTTGCCAATTCCTGCAAGCAAAAGCAATCCTAAGTAGATAGATTACTCTTATTCAACTATATAAATGGGGAAATTTATAGATAATTATACACTTGCAATCGACCCAGACTAATGTCTCGGTAAAGTGTAAAGTAGTTGGTTCTCACTAAATGATGAGTCACCTTGACAGTTTATGTCCCAAAAAAAAGTTATTCTGAAAGTATTGTAAATTAGCAACAGAACATATGTTCTAGAATGGGAATTCGTCCTATATATAATCTTGAGAGGAGTTATTTTGTTAGAACACCTTTATTCTAAAATAGTTGTTAACAGAAGTTTCTTCTACAACAAGTGGAATTCTTAGCATAAAGCTCTTTTCTGTGTTCCAAACAGAGGACTACACTAGAACGTGTGGTATCTCATCTTTTTTTTGATAGAAGGCTCTTTTGCTGAGTGTAGCCAGCTCAAAGGCAAAAATCTGATCATCTACTTACTTAACAATGTCATTCATGCTCATAATCTTCCTGTACTAAATTAAATACTTCGATTACCTAATTCCAAAATCTGCAGTAGCTGAAGAAAACCTGCACATCTTCATACAAGAAATCCCGTTGGTTCCCTATTGTTGCTTGCTGCTCCTATCACCTCACTCCAGATCAACCCGGAAGCTGTCCATTGAATATTGTAATTATATATATCTAAAATAGAAAAGGTTGAAAATGTAACAAACTATCATGTCGCATAAAGAACACAAATTTCCAGTTCTTGTCTTTCATAATGTGAGGGCCACAAATATTGAACCCAATGCTCCAAAGAAGTATTGCAAAAAATTAGTACAAAAGGAGACCATTATTAATCTCTTCTCTATACACAGATGTCATTATTTTTCTAGTTCATGCCTTCTTGCCACTACAATACTAATCAAAGAGCAGCAGTAAACAATTGCATTACAATTCAAAGAGCAACAGTAAACAATATGCAATACAAATCAAAGCGCGGGAGGGAAAAATCCATGGAGGGGCGGGACACAGGTGGACCGCTCCCGCGACCCGCTTCAACCGCCGCCACCTTCTCATGCCCGTCTTCGGCGGGATCCGGCCGCCCTCGCCGGCGCGTGGCCCAGATCCGCCCCCCTTCCCTCGCCCTTCCTCCCCGCCTCTCCTTCCGCCCACGCGCCGCCTCCCCGGGAGGCGGCCGGGGCGGCCCCCACGCCTCTGCTCTCGGCTTCGCCCCCTCTTCCTTTCCCCTGCTGTCGCCGGTGGGCGCCCCCGGCTCCGGCCAGGGGGGTGCCGGTGGCGGTAGGATCTTCTCTCCCCGCGCGCGCATCCTCCTGGCCCGGGGCAGGGGGCGGCGGCGGTGTCGCTCGGCTTGGCGACGGTCCGGCGACCCAGCGGGGTGGCCGGCGGCGGACGTGGTGGCGGCGCTGCTCCTTGGCAGCGGGGCGGCGTGGTGGTGCTGGGTGGCCGACGTCGCGCCCCCGACCCAGATCTGGGCCCGGCAAGCCCCATCTGGGTCCTAGCGGGCCAGCCCCTCGGCGTGGCCTCGTTGTCTGCGGCGCAGTGAGGAGGAGGAGCGGCTTGGATATGGGGCATCGACGCCGATGGCGTGCCGGCAGCAGCACGAAGGCGGGAGCTTTACGGGCCCATGAGGGCCCGGTCGGGCATGTGGGCCCACGGGCCTGGTGTGCTCCTGCTATTGCGTCCGAACGGCTACCGTCGCTGACGGTGGAGGTGGGGCCCTCCCGTGTGCTGACAGTGCTGATGCCCTAGTCCCAACACCGATTCTTCGTCGCGCTGTCCTCCCTTCGCGGTGCCGTGGTGAGACGGCATGGGGGCCTCATGACCGCATTGGCGCAGGGTGGTGGTTGGTTTCGTGGCTGGATCCAGAACGCCCGATGTGCGGGTTGGGATCGAGGGAAACCCCTGTAGGTGTGGCCGACACCGGCGCGGTGGCGCCTGTGGGTGCCACCTGACCTTCCGGGAGGGCGTCAGGGGCTACCCTTCCTCTCGCCTCGTCGTGTACCGGGGGAAACCCTTGGCAGCAGCGTCGTCATTGTCGCGATCCTTCTTGGAGGTGTTGATAGGTGCCGGCGCTTCGGAGTCTTGGAGCCTAATGGAAGATCCCGGTGGGCGCAGTGATCGCGAGGCTTCTTCATTTTTTGTCGATGCGCCGTTGTCGACATTTGTTTCTTTTGCTCTTTCTCTGTTGTTTCTTTTGGGCGTGATTGTGCTGCTTCCGCCCCAGCACCTATCCCTGTATGGTTCAGTTGGTTGCTTTGTATACAAAGCGGGGGGAAACCCTTTTTCGACAAAAATCCATGGAGGCGGAGATGGTCAAGAAGTCATTACCTATACCCTGCGATGTCATTAAAGTGCATGGCGCCGTAGGTGCAGGAGCTTGAGTGTTGAGTCCGAGACTTCAAGGTAGCCGAGAAGAACCCCCTGCCACACATGCTCTTTAGAATTCAAATCCAATGGCAAGATAAATACAGATGAAATCTAGTACTTCTTCCAGAGGGCACAAAAAGTACATGAAAATTAACTCCTTCGGCGGCATCTAGAAATTCCATGAGCTCACCACAAATCCATATCTATATACTCTACTTTTCTGAATTAGCCTGGGAGGAAACAATAGAACCAGACAGAGAGATTGGGAGAAGAGAGAGCCGAGTGGGAGTAGTGGGGGAGGAGATGGAGACCATGGTGAGCTTGAGGAAGGCAGCCGAGACTGTAAGTGGAGGACATCCTTGTCCAGCGCCATCACAACCCCTCCTGTCGTCGGCGCGGCGAGCGGCGCATGGTGAGGGCCTTGGCGGAGCCGGGAGTTGATGCGTTCCAGTCAGCGGTGGGGCGCGCGGCGCACGGTGAGGGTCTTGGTGGAGCAGGGAGGATATGCACAGTGGCGGCTGGAGCTAGGTGGGCAGGGAGCGGTAGGCGGTCGAAACCCTAGCGGGAGAAGAGAGATACTGAGAGCTGGTTCGTGCGCTCACGGATGTGCAAAGTCAACATAGTTGATTTGAACAAACCGACTATTAAGTGGGCGTCAGTTGCCACTTGCGAGCATGATTTTTCGCTGACATACATGGTGCACTCCCGAAAAAAAACGCTCGAGTGCTCCCAGGACACCAATTCCTGGGAGCTTAGGGCGTGTTTGGTTGCCTGCATTAGGCCCAGCCTGACCCACGCGGGAAGAAAGTGGCCTGTTTGGTTGCCTGCCTTCACTGTGCGGCCCGCATCGCATGAACCTTAAAGCACGTTCAGGCCAGGCCCAGGAGAAACGCCCGAATCGGTAGTAGCTCGCGAGCCAGGCTGAGGCGAGCGCACAAGGTGGGCCACTTGCACGAGGGGAGATGGGAGGTATACGAGCTGGTATGCAGCTTGTGCGTGCTTGCAGTAACCTTCCCTCTAATCCTGTTCTTCCTAGCCCCTTCCGATCTACACAACGGTTCTTCGATTTGAGGTAAGCTCTACACGAAAAAAATGCACCTCGATGCTATGGTTCCATTCAGACGACCGGTTCGTAGTTTCGTCGGCCGTAAGTTCTTAATTTTGTCTTCCTATTTGAAGTTGTTCTTGACGAATTTTGTCAGATTCATCGCGCACGATCGATCGTTTGAATTTTCCTTTGACCAGCAGCCTAATCTCGCAGTTCCGCACAACATTCGTGTTGTAAGTTTTTGATTTCGATGATGGATGTTGGGTGTATTTGAGGCGTGCACGTGCGTGCCTGCGTGGGAACAAGAAGACCATCAGAGAAGGGAAGGTGAGGGAAGAGGAGCAGGTAGAGGATGGGCGAGAGAGTACCTACCTTAGGTGGAGGAGAAGGTGTTGCTGCACTAGGGTCGGAGGAAGATCCATGGCGTCCCACTAGTGCAGCAGCACTTGTGGGGAAGGAGAGGCCTTCCTCTCCCGACGCGCTGCTTGCGGTTGTGGCGCCGGAGGCGACCTCCGTCGAGGCCCAGCTAGGTCGACGGCGCTGGCGACCATGGCTGTCGGATCCGGCGTCGCCATGGCCGACCTCCTCCCTCCTGTGCTTCCTACTAGGTCGCCATGGCCGCGGGCTCCTTGTTCATGGCGTCCTGCTCCTTCCTCTGGTTTCGTAGCTTCATCTCCCCCTTTCTCTACTAGCTCTTAACCATGTGTGCTAAGTGCAAGTGCTAGGTCTTAATCATACTCCATGCGGACAACCAAACAGCGTGTAGTTGCATGCGCCGCGACAATGCAAGCAACCAAACAACGTGCCAAAGTTGATTTCCTAATGCAGGAAGTCCATATGCAAGCAACCAAACAACTCGCAGATGTCGCATATGAGGCTATTTTTTCAGAACCAGATTGAGTAAAGAAGTGTATGTGATGCTGGCATTGTTGCACACGGCAACCAAACACGCCCTTAGAAACTGTACTGATGAAGCGATCAAACTGACCCGATCGTGGTGACAGATCCAGAGCACGTTAAATTAAACTAGCAGTTCAACACGATGTGTTTGTTTGGGTTTGGAGCCGACGGAGACTTCTGACTGGAACAACACCCACTCCAAAGACCAGGCAGCTCGTTCGTGAGGCTCTGCGCCCGTTGTGTTGACGTGTTCGGCGCTGGGCCGCGCGAAGTGGATCGTATCAAACACTCACACTCTCGCTGCTGCTACGTCCAATCGCACGCGCTCCGTAGAATGGGCCAGTCGGCCGGCTGGACCCCATCTCCACCACGTCCATCTCGGTGCAGCTCTGAGCGGGACAAGACCACCTTCCTCCTGCCTGCCGCCTTCCTCTCCTCCGGCTATATAGAGCAAGCCACCCACCGGGGACACACCCATCTCCAGATTCCTTTCACCTGGAGTCGGATAAACACCAATCAAAACTCCGGTGCTACTTGCTCCTCGTCGACCACAAGATCGATCTCCAGACCAAGATTTGCTAGCACGTTGTAGCACAACACACCAGAGTCCGGGTATACATGGGTAACTTGGTCTCGCAGTGCGTCACGGGCGACGCAGAGCGCGCGGGGCCGCTGGTCGTCCTGCCGGACGGCAGCCAGTTCCGGCTGGAGGAGCACGCCGGCGTCGCGGAGCTGATGATCGAGGCGCCGGGGCACGTGGTTGCCCAGGCGAGGGACGCCGCCAAGGAGCGGCGGCTGCGAGCCCTGGCGGCCGACGAGTTCCTGCGCGCCGGCGAGGTGTACCTCCTCGTGCCCGCTGGGAGGGCCGGGGCGCGCCTGGGCGGTCAGGAGGCGGACGCCATCCGCCGGCTGGTGTCCGGCAAGAATGGTGGCAAGGGCAAGGGCAGCAGGTCCGGGAGAAGGATTTTCCCGGAAGGAGAAGCAGCGAGCACCGAGGATGGAAATGAGTCTGCTGAATGTGCGCTGCTTTGTAGGATTAGGCCAAGGCAGTGGAGGCCCGCCCTCGACACCATCTTCGAGGCTTAGATCGATCATGGCCCCCGGCTGTAGGGTAGAATAGGAAATCTGATTCATTCATTATTTTTGTTATTTTTTGTCGAATATGGATCATCCTTCTTTTTCAAGCAAGGAGAGAAGGTATTCGTTTGACGTGTACATGTGTCTTGTAAAGCTTCAACTTATTTTGGAGCAAAAGGTTTTCAGAGCTAGAAATAGTAATTGTCAAACCTAAATGTTACTCCCTCCGTTTCATGATGCAGGGCATACAGATTTTTTGAGAAGTCCAACTTCACAAATTTTGATCAAGTTTGTAGAGAAAAACATTTACAACTAAAATGCCAAACATATATGCATCATAAGATGTTGTTTCATATTTTATATGTTGGAAATATTAGCACATTTTTACCAATCTAATCCACGAGTAAATGATAAGCATGGCGAATACAGTATGCATCTCATACCGATACCTAAGCATGTGAGCACGTACAGTATATAGAATCGAAACATCTATGAATAGCATACGACTAGCACATGCACGAGAAAATAGGGGATAAACGAGTCATACCCTCCAGTTGGTCAGGCCAACGCGACGGCGGCGGAGGCGGCGGCAGCCTCGGCATCGGCCGAGGCCTTCTTCTTGGCGACTTCGTCGTCAGCCATGGAGTCGATGCAGGGGAAGCAGTGGCGGACGGAGATGGGGACGGACGGGAGCAGTCGCGTCGAGACGCTCCCCAAAAACATTAATGTCGTTCTCTCGGGCAGGATCTCGAACAATAGGATTCCGGTGGCACCTGCTCTCCCGACCAACCGTGCACACGGTCGTCGGGATGGGTCGCCGGAAGCACAGAGAAAAGAACAGTAGATAACGGCTAGGATTGTGCAAGAGGGAGTGAGTGAACTGAGTTAGGGTTCACTCCACTGGCCAGCACCTTCTTATATAGCGGGTAGATGGGCCTGAGCTCATGCCCATGATCGAGTCCGCGAACAGCTCACGGTCCAACGTCTCGGACAGTGGCACTTCCGTAAGTGACTCGTTAATTAATCCGAGATTAATTAACCATTCTTGACCGGTAAAAATAAGCTTCGGCGCAACCCGCAAGCCGCGGCGCGCGTCGTGACGAGACGTGGTGAGACGGACGCCGGAGGAGGAGCGCGCGTGTACAACTTCTATTGCCAAGCTCCCGATAGCAAGTGGTAGAGCAGCCCTTATAAAGAGGTCACACTCTTCTTACTGTAGCAGTACGGTACTAAACTTCCCATCAAACTGCCCACCACTTGACGTGCACATTCATGGGCATTAGAGATTAATCGTGGATTATTGTGTTATATGGGCCTAAGCCCATCCATAATCCACCAATATATATATTTGATATTGCAGATATAAATAGTTTTTCTTATAAACTTGGTCAAAGTTTGCAAAAGCTTAACTTGCAAGAAAAATATATACTCACTAATAGCGAAAGGCCCAAATTTTTGCGCTTTTCTCCATTTTCTAATCCTGAAGTAGTTATCTAGAACCTGGTAAATTCTGTTTTTGTTTTTGCACATGACAATTATGTCAGCTATAACATAGCAAAAATTATGTGTTTCTTTAGGTTTCACACATTGTCAATGTAATAGCATGACAAATTCTGTGCGTTTTACACTATTTACATGTGGCAACTTTTCGCACGGCACCATGGAAATTCTCTAGTTGTGTCATGGCAAATCTTTATCTAGAGCATGGGAATTTTTTTAAGACATGTGTGTCAATTTCTCTGTTGTAGCATGGAATTCTCCATGTTATATCATGGCAATTTTCGTCTTGGGTAGGATAGAATTCTCCCCTTTGCAACATGATGGACATTTGTGGCAACTTTCTCATGATGTAGGATGTCAATTCCTTTTTTGTTGTACCGTAGCAATCCTCTTCTTCCCGCATGGCAATTACTGAAGAGGTAGCACGTGCATCATGGAAATCCTTGCACACATGGCAACATGAATTTTTTTGCTGGTAGCATTGCCATAGCATGGCAAAAAAAAGGTTGTTGGGAGGGGGAAAGCGGTGAATGATATGTAGAGGAGGGCCCTTCGATCGTTCGCTTGGAAGGCCATTGGGAAGGAACGCATGGACATTCGTTTGCTCGTTTGACGCTAGCTGGGAAAACAACCGTCCGCTCTGGCCACCACCTAGGGGGTGTATGCTAGCTATTGGCTTCCATTATTGAATGGCGTTGAGCATAATAATGGATAAGTACTTTTCCTTCCCTTAAAGTTCAACAACCCAAATCATAGTTCGATTCATTCCCAGCTTTTGGACTAGACAAATGGTTTGTGGTTGTGTTGTGGCGACGGGCGCGACGCAATCCTCGAGATTGCATTTCCTCTAAGGAAAACACGTGATTTAACCTTCTGACTAGGTCAGGCAACGCCAATGTCCACACATCGGTTTCCTTGTTGAAGATGTTGGGTTGAAATTCCATTTCAACAGTAATAGCCCTAGGTTTGACCATGTGGTTTGACCAGCCAACATTAGTGTGTGAGCGATGATTCCATCTTGAAGGTGTTGTCGCGCAGTCACATCCATCGTTAGGTCACATGTTGCTTGGTCGCCTCAGATATTTTCTTTCCTTTCTATATGCCAATTTGTTGGGTATCAATATTTGGTATTATTTTAATTATATCATTATTGTATTTATCAAGATGCATATACCGGGAGCAGCGGGAGGCTTTGCCTTTTTTTTGAAAAAAGGAACCGCACAAATCTGCCTTGATCAACAAATGGATATTGCAACTAATGAACATAAAAACAAATTGCACAATATTTCTCCTTATGGTGGAATTGAACTAGAGAATGAAATATGTTTTCCGTACAAACTTCCCGCAATTAAATCACATTATGTTAACAAAGATTATATAATTTCAGATAATATAGGGGGGTGGCCCTTCATATAGCCATAGCCCTATCGGAGTGGAGTAGAAGAGAATAAATGTAAGAAGAATATTATTATTATTATTTTGAGGGAATAAGAAGAATATTATTAGTAATCATATCTTAGTCACTTGGGTTTCAAACAGAAAAAGGTCATGCCTTGATGAACAAATGGATGTTATAGTCGACAAACATGTAAATGAATTGCAAAATATTTCTCATCATCATAAAGGAAACTACGGAAGTATAACAAATGAATGTTACAAGTGATGAAGATGCAAATGAATTGCACAATATTTATCATCATAACAAAGGAACCTACAAAAGTATCACACCTTGCATCTATACATTTTAATATACACCGCGGTTTCACAATAACGCCAGTGTCAGAGCAAAAACCATTACATTATCAAATCAAAATTAATAGGATTCGACCAGAGTAAAATCTGCTTCGTCACCACGAATCACGTGATTTCCTACTAACTACAATTTCAGCTTTATCTTCTCGGACCATTTGAATATATCAGAATACACCTGATCACCACCAATTTCCTCACCGGTTGCCCCAGCAGCAATCCTGATAATATCCTCCATTAAAGCAAAGTTCCCCATAATATCAACGTGTGCACCACTCTGTGTGCCCCTGCCTTCCAGGAGATTTGAAGGCGGAGAGTGACTGTACTCTCTCACGTAAGTCTTGCTGCCAGAAGGGTTGAAGCGAGTTTTTCCACGCCATGCTTTGGCACACATATACCCTGCACTAAGAACTGGAACAGTCTCGTCACCGTTCGACATGTAAACACCACCTTTCAAGCAGCTATTCTCATCCCCTCCCTCAGCTGAGGCGTCTATCTGAAAGGGTATATAGCACTCTGCTTGTGGGGATAATTTATAGACATATGCTCTTTCGGTCGGAATGCCTACTCCATACATCGAAAATATTTCCATTTTAGGTGCATTTGGTAGTCTGCAAATGAAAGGTTGTAAGATAGCATTCATAAATCAACAAAAATAATACACAATATTTGCAAGCTTTTGTATGCATGATCACCATGCAGCAGATCTTTTTTACAGAAGATGTTTTCTTGGGAAAAAAAATCTAATGTAGGTAACTGAATTAAAATGAGAACGCTGGCAAAAGGTTCTTACTTTGTCTCCAAGGGGTTTGACCAATACTTGTAGTGACCATATTTTGGATCATCCAAGTTATCAGCAATTCCATATGAAAAATGAACACTACCACGCTGCATCATCCTTGGAGCAACAAAGTTAAAAAGATCTATGATAGAGCCTGCGGTGTAAACTTTGTAGTCTGAAACTGCCTTTATTCCACCCCACCCTAATTCCTGATACTCTGTCCAGACATCCCGGCATGATGTATTTGAATGGGCAAGATTATTACCTTTGACAGCATCCTGAAATGACAATAATAAGTTTTTTCTCCGACATCGAGAGTATACCACAAGGTGCTCACAGCTCACCTTGAAGTTAAGAACTCATTCTACATATAGTCATATACTCCCTCCGCAAAGAAATATAAGTGTGTTTAGATCACTAAAGTAGTGATCTATTAGTGATCTAAACACTCTTAGATTTCTTTACAGAGGGGGTATATAGAAAGACAACTAAATATATCACACTATCTTCCATAAAAAGGTAAATCAAGAGCTTCATGTGGTGAACTGGGAAGGCTTAAACAGGAGCAAATTCTTAGACAAACAGTCACTTCTTCAGGAATCAGGACTGAACCAGCTACAATTTAAGCCAACAATGTAGATCATAACGCAATACAAAATGATGAGTATTGCATACGAGTTTTGCTGAAACAATGAACGAGCTACAGTTTGAGCCGACAATGTTCGATTATAATGTGATATAAAATGATCGTTGTCAAATAAAAGAGTTCCACTGGAATAATTAATGAAGTTTTAACAAAATAACAGTGCAACTAACAAACTGAATACATATCAGATCAAAGATTTCTGGAATAAGAATAATGCTAATTATTACAAGTACTCCCTCCGTTCAAAAATATGAATTGCACCAAGTCAAACTTCATTAAGTTCGGCTGAGTATATATAAAAATATATCAACATCTACAAAACCAAATTTACTTCACCAAATTCTTTCTGAAATATATTTTCGTATTATATATATATCTAAAACTGTAGATCATTGCGGATTTTTCTATGGACTTGGTCAAACTTAGAAAATTTTGACTTAGAAATATCCTAGTACTTCAATTATTTTGGAAAGGAGGGACTAACTAAAGACAATACCACAGATCTAGGAAAATAGTAATTTGCATGTATGATGGTCGTAAGTAAATATAAGCTAGTATGCTTTATGTTATGCTTCTGAATACTCACACGGAATTCTATCTGCTCGATATTTGAAACCGGAGATTCCGCTACATCTTTTCCAAAAGATACCATCCTTCCAAAGTTCACAGGCTCTGGATGAACTTCAACAGGTTCCCCATGAACATCCTTAGAAACCTCTGAATCATTGGTCTTCCGCTTCTTGGATTTACACTCAAAACCATCTTCTGGAGACCAATCCAAACCTCCCCAAATAGTGTCACCACCTTTAGGGAGCATCGACATTGTTGAATCCCATGTACGGGTCATTCGCATCAAGTGGCGCAAGGTCTGAAGTCCAAGAAAATCAGAGTCCAGCATTTCTGGTGCAATAGCTCTGTACATGAATGACATAATATTAAGGAGGGGTAATTATCTGTTAATCAAATAAGGAAAAGAACGGCAGGATGCTAATACCACCCACAGCATTTCTAAAAATGAACAACGACCATGCTAATACCATGGTCTATCCATCAAAGTAGATTAATACAGCAAGGTTACATAAGCTTGGAACTTGTATCTTGTTTGCAACAGAATACCTTATGCATGATAGTGTTGTGTGACTAACAAAAGACTATTAGATGTGCATGATAGGAGATTCATACTTGGGATCATGGCCATTAGACTGGCATAACAATGAACAACATAATACAATATATACTGGTTGTAAAGAACATGGCAAGGATTCTGCAAATACAGAACCATATTAACAGATGAATGGCACCACTAACAGAGAAACACCTAGATATGTGCCGCATGATTACTTTAATTGCTTAGAACAAATTGATAAGGATACAAACAAAACAAAGAATTGCTTAGACTGCTTAGAATTATAACATGGGTGCAATCATTAGCTTAGGCGCTATCAACTACCCAGCCTCAAAACAATTGAAATGACCAATACCAGCATGTACTTCTCCATTGTGAAAAATAAGTCAGAACAATCATGTTTATATTCATCATTCAGTAAAGAACAATCATATCACTGGTATGGTCAGAAATATTATGTTTTCTTGAAATTCACCTCAAAAGGTATCAAAAGGGGAACCACTGTTATCAGATAGTACATAATGATTTTATGCAATGCAGCTTCACACTTCTAAACTAGATCAAGTACTTCTTGGCCCCATTGTCCTTATCATAGAAACAGGTTAATCACTAAGGTCATATCATACTATAGGTGCAATCATGCAGTCGCGACTTCAACAATGACTTGCCATCATTTATTACCATCGTTACAAATTAGCTCTGCATGAGTAAGACGTGAGAATAAAAGTATAGAGTTAGATGACTTGATGTCCTCGCCACTACGGGTTAAAGCACACACACAGTATCCTGTGGGCAACTGACAAGCATAATTCAGAATGTGCGTGGGCGTGGGTGTTTGTTGAATTGTAATTCTACGACAAATAACATGATTTCAGTAGGCACATTAAACATCAGCTACCAAACTTTTATAACTTGAATTACCTAGCAACAGCAACATCTTTGGCTTCAGATGAAAAAAGCCCAGCAACAGCCTTTGGAACTCCTAAGAAAGGCCCACCAATGTTTGCTACAGCTTTGATGTGCTTTGCACACCAATCAGGACCACCACCACCACCCATGGGAGAAGGTGCTTCTACCCACTTCATAAAATGAAGAAAATAGAGAACTCCCATGGAATGTGGGATCACCACTGCCCTATTTCCACCATTAGTTGCTACCAAGAGCTCAATGTTACTCTTTATTCTGCTCAATGTTTGATCACGGGTCTGCAGATGGTGATTTAAATTAGAAACATGACAGATCATCCTATATCAGTAGCATTCACATAACAAAGAAAATATATAGCTAATGATGTAGGACTCTGTCATACTTCATATTGTACAAGCAAAAAAGTTACCTCTGTGTTCTGGAATGATAACCTCCAATCATAAGCAGCCATGTACATGTTCTTTTCTTCATATCCAATCCGAGCTAAATTGGCAATCAGGACCGCCCAAACAAAATAGCCAGGGACAAAATAGTCAGCTGCAACAAGGCCTGTGACCGGCCTAACTCTTATTCCTGGTTTATCTAATCCAGTTTCGTTGTCCAATGACATATGTTCAACCCAGCATAAAGGCCTGAAAAATGTTCAAGAGGATTAAAGAGATTGCAAGCAGAAGCAGGTCTGTGATAGTGCATAACTATACCTAAAAGAGTGCTCTAGCAAAATGAAGGAGAATAGTACAATAACCAACTTATGATAAGTAAGTTTTGATGACTGCAGGCAAAACATAAAGAGCACCTATTCTAGGCAAAAGCCCCTTCAGTAGAAAGAGTTGGAAAAGATAAAATAATAAACTAAAAAACAAAAGTAACAAACTCTGTAACATGTAACCTTAGCAGTAGTGACTATAATACAGCATCAAATGAAGTGAAACTAACTCTCGGGTTAATCCATGTTACAGGGAGCAGTATAGCATCTAGCTTTGCATGGATATTTCAGTTTCAAGACTGAAGCTATGCCATGAGAAATTTAGGGCCAGTTCTTTTGGGCAATTCTCCCAGAATTGACCCCCTCCCCAGCTTCTCCCAGAATTGCCACTTAATATTTTTTTACAATTCCTAGCTAGTTAAGGTCTAATTAGCTAGGAATTGTAAAAAAATATTAAGTGGCAATTCTGGGAGAAGCTGGGGAGGGGGTCAATTCTGGAAGAATTGCTCAAAAGAACTGGCCCTTAGACTCTGCTTCTACTTGTAAACTATCAACTTCATTCTTGGTAACAGGGTTCAGGATATTAAATTTGTTCAGACTGACGTTTTAATGCAGGTATTTACGACAAAGTACATACAATGCCACATACCATGTACTCTCTCCGTAAACAAATATAAGAGCGTTTAGGTCACTTATTTAGTGATCTAAACGCTCTTATATTAATTTACAGAGGAAGTAACAGCTAATCCCACAAGAAGTTGCTAGTGCGCTGAACTTTTAAGGTCATATAAAGCACGACACACAAGCCCCTGAACAAGATTGCTAATTTTCCAAGAGGCACTAAAAGACTGCATTACTTATTTTTTCCAGCATATAGGTTTTAGGATTCAAATTAGGCTTATTAAATATTTCCCTTTTTCTCTAAACAGATATTTCACTGTAGAATCCGAAGTTCTGCAAACAAGCAGAGCACCAAGATTACCGCCCCTGCCAAAATGTGACTGTAAATAAAGGCAGTTACTTCAATGCAAAGTTAGTGATCTACTTTTCCTACATAGGGATAACTCACCAACACAAGGCTTAGAAGGAATAACAGGTATGCTGTTCAGGGATCACGTTATTACTCTCACCAGAAAGTAAGCAACATATACCTTCCAGAAAAGGAGTATTTAAATAATAAATAATGAAACAGTCAGATGTAAATATCTACTAAGTCTTTGTAGAGATTTCACTAGGTGGACTACATACGAAGCAAAATGAATGAATCTACACTTAAAATGCATCTATAAACATCCGTATGTGGTTCATAGTGAAATCTCTACAAAGACTTATATTTAGGAACGGAGGGAGTACAAGGCATCCCATGACTACATCAAAAGCTTTGTCTAATGCAAATTGTAATTTCTCCTAAAGGACCTGAACACACATAATCTAGATTTCTCTTGTACAAGAATTTTCCTATATCAACATCCCCTCATAGCCAGTGGGGGACACAATGTTGCCTAGTTTTAAAACATGTGCACTCCATGCAGCTCTCGAAGTCACATCTTGCCCACTCAAATCCTGCTCCCATGCTAGCAAGAAAAACCAGCATTTCAAGGCAGCTGAAAGTGATTGTCACACCCAACATTTCATATAAATATCCAAGTACTTACACAATTAAACAGTACAAAACTAGCTTAAGAAACACAAATCAAGTTCAGATTACCAAGAATTATAATCCTTCCACGGTAACAAAACAACCATCAAGAAAGTAATAAAAATTATCCAAATTTGGAACCAACTTTCTGTTGAGCACCTAAATCCCAGTTCTTGACTGAGCACCTTGGCATTTTGAGGGATCATGCAGCCTGACCCAGATTTCAGAAGATCTGGAACGAACCTCTAGTCCTGCAGCTCAGATACATTAATAAGATATAAAAGAAATCTACGGAAAGGGCGTTAGAGAACACGAGGGATTGACAGCCTATGGAATCAGACTGCTGTCCTGAAGTCCTAACTCTGCCAAAACAATTCCCAAAAGCTCGACAAACAACAAAGCAAGCCAAAAAGAATAACATGGGACTCATTCTATTAAAGGATCCTAGCGTGGATTACTAAAGCAGCCCTAATAACGACCAAACAAAGTAGAGACTTAACGGACACGCGACGGATGCGAATGCAACACCTAACAGGTGAGAAAGCGACCTCTTGTACACGTCGCCGAATGTGCCGCCCCAGAGGCGCTTCCGGAAGAGCCCCTCGGCGCACTGGTGGCCCTCCCAGAGCTCGAGCCCTCCGGTGACGATCCCCGGCACGAAGATGACGGGGTGCTTGGCGTGCAGCCCCTCCTTCTGCAGCTTGACCCCGGGCGGGTCCGGGAGCGGGCCCGTGATGGCCTCCGTGACGTACTGCGGGAAGGAGGCCGGCATGGCGTTGTAGAGGAAGAGCAGCAGCCACCAGGAGGAGCAGACGCAGCCCACGAGCCAGCAGCAGCTGTCCACGCACGACCACTTGCCCTTGGCCCGCCGGCCGGCCTCCTTGGACGGCGGCGCGGAGGCGGAGGAGGACGGCTGCTCCTGCGCCGGCTTCTTCCCCTTGTCCTTGTCGTCGTGGTCGGAGCCATTGCTGTCGTCGCCCGGCGAGGGCGGCGGCGGCGACTGCTGCTGCCTCCGCCTCCGTAGGAGCGACATGGCGCGCGCGGGCGAATGGGATCGGCGGGCGGGGCGGGGCTACCTGCGCGGGCGCACTCGCATCGCCGGCGGCGGCCCGCGAAACCCTAAGCCGGCGGCGGGGCCCAAGGAGGCGGAGGGGGCGAGGTCGGGAGGGGCGGGGCGGCCTCGCGGGGCTAGCGTTTGTGAGGTCGGGAGAGGGAGGAGGCTCGAGGCCGTAGGCGACCGTCGCGCCGCACCGGAGCGATCCCTGCGCCCGATGTACGTGCGCCGAGCTGGCCACGAGTGCCTGCCTACGTGGGCCCGGTGGCACGGGACGGGTCTGTGGTTCGTGAAGACGCGGTGCGGGTGAGGTGGTGGGGGCGGAGTTCGCCTGCCTCTATTGATTGGAACATGTGTGGGGCCCACGGGTGGCAGTCAAGGACGGGGACGGTGAAGCGGGACCGGCGTAGCTTGCAGAAATGATAATGGCGATCCAACCAGAGCAGAGCCTCGCCAAAACGTGATCTTTCTGGGTTTTGTTTTTACTAAAACGTGATCTTTCGGTTGGCACGGTTTTCCTTTTGCCATTTACTGTACATTGCATGAAGGTGCAGAGCACGATCCATTCTCATATAATAATGGACTTAAAATAATTTAGATTCTTTTAAATATATATTCATCAACTATTTAAGGAATCCAACGCTTGAAAAACTACCTCTTATATTGTGGGATAGAGGGAGTACATCGCTTTTTAAGTATCTGTTTTAAAATTTTGACAAATATTACTAGTCGCAAATTTTAAGGTTTAATTATATCTTGTCTAGAACGGCGGCTTTAACCAGACGCGAGGGATATCTGGGTAGCATGAGCCATGAGGGAAAGCTTTTACTCCAAATGCCACATATAAGTTTTTATAAAGCTAGCATGTTATCAATTGGCATGTCCAATCATCCACCGACTTGTGTTCTTGTAAATATTTCTACCGCCCTTAAAACCCCATGCACCTCGCTTTGTTAATGATCCTAGCAAGATCGTCCTTCTTCTGAAATGATGATCCTCCTTCTCCCTGTTGGCGATAATCTAATGGTTGTACGATTCCTCGTTCATTAGGTGACATCTCATTGCCTTTGTCGCTCCCTAGCACGCCTACCCCAAGGAACATGTCATTAGGGTGCAATTAGGTGACGAGTAACCACGCCATGCACCATGACGACTTTCAGGTTGTGTCGTGCGTGATGATTATGGTTCATGACTGCGACTGGAACTCCCGCCATGAGACGTCATCGCATTTCAACACGCATGCATCATTCATTTGTTCTATATGGATAGTCAGTTTCAGCACGTATTCCGGTCATCCAACAACTTTCATATGCCCTCGTATGCATTTTGTTCCTGGGCGGCAATAGCAAAGAAATGACTTCCTGTCCTGGCATGTGCAGTCCCGCACGAACATCATGCACCTGTAGACCGGCGTCTACATAGTGGTGGGGAATGGGCACCGGATCAATACAGATGGCCTTGACATTGTGCTCGTATCATGTCAACCTTAACATTAGGAGTCATTGTGTTGTAGATATACGAAGGGAATTTTTAAGATGGATGAAATGTGTACTGAAAGCGGACATTGGTGTCGATAGAAACAAATGTATTATTCACAACTGAAGTACTTTTGTAAAAAACAATTCTTTTGGCCTCAATTTCAGTCTTTATGGAAATGTTCAACACAAATCATGTTAGCAATTTCAACTTGTAGCAATAGCAACATCGAATAAAAATTACATAATTTATTATTGTCATAAAGCAAGTATATAAAGTTGCGAGAACTGAATTGTGGCAATAGCAACTGGGAGCACATGACTGCAAGGGTAGCCCTCAAGCTTGGGCTTGTTAAAAGTGCACTCACAGGACGTTGGGCCGAGGGTGACAACTTGCTTTTTTTATCCTCTGTGGTGACCCTTAACGTACTTGGCTCGCACATTGACCTCACACTTATTCCTAAGTGCGTCCACTTTCCTCAGCCATGGCTTTGGGACTTTTTTGCTTTCTCGTCCAGATGTCTTTGCATCTTCTCAGACCATGGCTTATTCAATTCAACTTGTGCATTGGCGACGATGACCCTGTCTGCAAAATATGACAGGGTCCGGTTCCAAGTTTCTTCAATTAGGGTTGTGATAGGCAAGGCTCTCACCTCTTTAAGAACACCATTGTACACCTCTGACATGTTGTTGGTCATTATTCCATACCGAGCCCCGGTGTCGTGAGCCTACGCCCACTTGTACAAATCAGTGGAATTCTCGCGGATCCACTGGCTCAAATTTATGGGCGTCCTACGACCCCTCCGGTCTTCTCTCTACGGCAAGGTCGCGCGCTCGATCTCACCATTGACACCTGCCCAGATCGCATTCATTTCATCTTCAATTTTCTGCATGCACATCCTCTTGAATAACTTGAACCAATTCATGTTTTTGAATTTGGAGTAAAAGTTTGCTGCCAAATGCCTCATGCACCACCTTCCCTCTAGATCCGACCACCCCCACTCTTCTGACGACTCCTTAATTATATCGAGAGCGCTCAATAATCTAGTGTTGCGATCAGAGATGATGCAAACACCTCCACGCTCTTTCACGACACCCATCTTCACGCAGCTCAGGAACCACAACCAGCTATCTTTGTTCTCGCTCTCTACCAGTGCGTATGCAATAGGAAGAAGCTGATTATTTGCATCTGGTGCAATTGCCACCAATAGTGTGCCCTTGTACTTTCCAGTGAGAAAGGTACCATCAACTGATAATACCGGGCAACAATGCTTGAAGGCTTGTATAGTCTGGGCGAATGCCGAGAATAAGAGGTTCAGGATTAGCTCACCGGGGTTCATTGGGTTTGGATGTTCTCTCCGCCAAACTTGAGTCCCCCTATTAGCACTTCCTATCCGATGAAGCATCATGGGGGCATAAGAATAGGCCTCCTCATAGGTTCCATACAAGTTCTGGAATATCTTTTCCTTTGCATGCCTAGCCTTGATGTAGCTGACAAGGAAGCCAATTTGATCTTCTACATCTTTTTGCAAAGCCCTAAGACTAGCCACAATGGAGAGTAACATACACTAGTAACATACACATATCCCTAGACTATGTTACTACCTCAATAGTGGGTAGTAACATAAGTGTGGTAACATGCAAAGCTTCATTTATTAAGTTATAGACTCATATTGCATTGGGACATGTGATGGTACAGTAACTAGCTAAGTTACTGGTACTACATCTCTCCTCATTAACTCACTGCCACGTAAGCAAATTTGCTGAGTTGGACTCGATGTTACTACCGAAGTTACTCCCACTGTGGCTAGTCTAATACTAATGTTGAGACTTTCCTGCACAATTGTTTTCATCTTCTGTGCCACATATCTTGCAGTCACATTGCAGTGATTTGAAAGAGTCCCAGTTTGCTCATAGCTATGCTCCACTTTTTTTTGTGATATGCCATGAATGACATACCTGAGGCTTCAGTCTAGCGAGAAATCTTCCACGACAACCTTTCGCGGAGTGGATGCATATGACCTTCAACTCTTTTTTATCAGACTGCTTCACTCTATGCTGGCGATGGAGGGCGATTGCATAGCTATCTATTGCCTGGTAAGCAGACTTCTTGTCTGGGAAAACCTGCCCAACCTCTAGGCTCCCCGCTTCTAGGCCAGAAACAAAGTGAAATTCATTGGTGATGCTCATATCCTGTAAAAACCCAAGTTGCAGTGCCGCCGCGATCGCCCTCGAGGAACATCTTCTTCTTTGCTTGAGTCCGAAGACGCGGAAGAATGATCGTCATCATCTAGCGCCTCTGTCAATCCCGCCACGTGTTCGCTCATGTCAACGGCTGCAGACCAATATCATGTGTCATACACAGGCTGGCTGCCCGTCGGTTCCGATGGGCCGACGCTAGGGGCTGATGTGATGGCCAACTCAACCTCACCACCCCTGCTACTACATCCGGCAACATCAGTGACTGATACGAACTCCACATACACAATCGGCTGACCAAACATTGAGTTATTGGGATTGCTTGGAAACCTTATGTACGACCCCCACGACTGATCACCTGTGACACGCCGCAAACCCCAATGGGTAACAGTCCCATCATTTCCTCCGTCAACGGTGAAGGCCTTCATTGTCATTTTTTCCCCTGCATCCCTGGGCCAAACACCGCTTGGATGCACCTTCTGACTGCTGCGTAACCCACGTTCACCATGTCTCTCACTACAATTGTAGTCGACTCGCTGTAGGATCGAAAGTATGTCTAGAAGGGGGGTGATTAGACTACTTGACCAAATAAAAACTTAACATTTTCCCAATTTTACTTCTTGGAAGATTTTAGCAACTTAGCACAAGTCAAGCAATCACAATACAATTCAAGCAATCATGCAAAGGGTATATGAGCAGCGGAAAGTAAAACATGCAACTTGCAAGAAAGTAAATGAGGGAGTTTGGAGGGAGCAAACGCAATGTTGACACGGAGATTTTTGGCGTGGTTTCGATAGGTGGTGCTATCGTACATCCACGTTGATGGAGACTTTAACCCACAGAGGGTAACGGTTGCACGAGTCCATGGAGGGCTCCACCCATGAAGGGTCCACGAAGAAGCAACCTTGTCTATCCCATCATGGCCATCACCCAGGAAGGACTTGCCTCACTAGGGTAGATCTTCACGAAGTAGGCGATCTCTTTGCCCTTACAAACTCCTTGGTTCAACTCCACAATCTTGATGGAGGCTCCCAAGTGACACCTAACCAATCTAGGAGACACCACTCTCCAAAAGGTAATAGATGGTGTGTTGTTGATGAACTCCTTGCTCTTGTGCTTCAAATGATAGTCTCCCCAACACTCAACTCTCTCTCTCTCTCTCAGATTTGGATATGATGGAAAGATGATTTGAGTGGAAAGCAACTTGGGGAAGGCTAGAGATCAAGATTCATATGGTAGGATTGGAATATCTTGGCGTCAACACATGAGTAGGTGGTCCTCTCTCTCAGAAAATGAGTAGTGGAA